TACTAAACAGAAGAGAATGTAATTGATTTCAATAGATATGCTTATTTATCTGTTTCGAATATTTTCTTAAAACACGTTCTATTGTTTTTTAAATTATCTATAAATTAATCTCTGCCTTAATTAAAAGTATAGGAAATTAATTTATTTCAAGCCTATTTGTAAACCCACTCTAATACTATTCATATTCAAATATCATTCATTTATTAAGTTACAATTTTTGAAACGATTTGAACATCTATGGTACTTTACTGTGAAATTTAAAATATTCCGGTATCGATAAACAAAATGGATCTAAAAGGAGGATATATTTTTTTTATTCATTTATGATTTGAAATACAACCAACTGCATATAATTATTTTAATAGTAGATGTTGATAGTGAATTTGTATTCTATGTCAGCATCGGATTTGCAAAATATTCTTCCCATAAAAGTCATTTTGTAGATTATTTTTTCCATTATGCACGTGTGGGCAAAATGGTTCAGCAAAAGGTAATATTTTCGAGGTTTTGCTGTGGTATCATGTGGTATAATATTTTATCACTACGAAAAAATTTTGTGTATGTGTGTCGAGTACCAAGGTAGAACCATCCATAGTAAGGTTATTAGGTTTAAGTTAGGTTATACCGGCGATCCCTAGTGGATCCACTTAGGCCTAATGGGTCATTGTGTTACCGTATATATGGGAGAAACTCAGGGTTTAAAACCACCTAGAATCTTTGGCGAAGCATAAAATGCTATTTAGTGTCAGGTCCTGTAACTGGTCCAGGTCATCAAGAAAGGGAATTCCCCAAGTGTTAAGTCGCCGCCATGCGTGTACGAATATTGTTGCAAAGTTTAACGAGCGTAAAATGTATAATTATTGTTGTCAACTCAGTTAATCAGTTAACGACAGAGCAAGCACTCTCTATTATTTTTAATTATTTTCAATAAATCGATGATTTAAGATCTAAAAAGCAGGAACGCAATATTAATTTATATATTAAAATATATAATTTTAGATAATTTGTTTATACAAAATAAGACATTATAACTGATATCTTGTTTTTTATTATATGTACATATGGGCCACAGTTGTGGGGTACTACAAGTAACTCGAATTAAAATATTATAACAATTCCAATCTAAAACACAGATTAATAGTAAATGCTCCATGGTTTGTAACAACCCACTGCATTTATAGAGATCTCAAAGTCCTCTACATAAAAGAGGCAATAAGAAATTATAGATTAAAATACCTTGAAAGATTAAGCGAACACGTGAACCCATTAGCTATAGCTTTATTATACGAGACTGATGAGGTCAGAAGGCTTAAAAAGTTACATGCATTTGACCTCCCATTTAGAAATTAAGTTTTTAGTAAGTAATTGTACAATATCCATTAACTATAAATATGTTTATCGTGCACAATGGGACACGATAACCTGAATTAGCATAAGGATATGATAAAATTTGTATATTATTATTTACATATAATGATTACAAATAAAAAAAAAGAAGATAAAAAAGTTTATCTTTTTTAGTTTAAGCTTCTTATACAGTTCGGACCAAAAAGATCTTAAGATCTAACAGGTTCTTTTATTTGCCTACGTTTTGTTAGCTATATTCAAATATTATTGTTCAATTGCGCGTTTAGATATTGATAAGTGAAATACCAATTTCTGAGAAATTAATGCCAGCAAGTAGAATGCCTATCTTCGCAAACTCATATGTCAAGCAGTTTCCCGAGATGTTTCTGTATTCATGATCATATGATCATAGATTGTGTTATAAATAAACACACAATTTTGATCTAAAAATTTTTTTGTCGGAATTTCAGTAACATTAATTAGAATACATTATAAATCGTGTAGTTAAATATAACTGATCAATTGTATACCATAAACAGTTTTTATAGAACTGTTTCTTCGCATAGTAGTTCTTGAATTTTTGATTTATCTTTTCTCTTGCTGATGCCTTTCGTGTGGTAAGTTATTGTTCACTGCATATATCTGTCTTCTTCGTGATCGTTAACTTCTTCTGTGACTCAATAGGTACTCTTACTCTAGCTCTGTATTCCAGCATTCTTATAATATGAGAAACCTACTTTAATCTCTGCTTTTGGTATCTTCATCTTATCGCACACGTCATGTCGTGTTCTCTTATAGGACGAAAATTTCTTCCGCAGTATTTACCTCTCGAAAACTACTAGTTTATTGATTTTTTGTTCTATCATATTACAAATTGGAATATATTTTACTTCAAGGAGCTACGCAATATCAAAAATAACTTTTACATATTATGTTTTTTTCGTACTTCATTTATTTAAGTATCTATTTAGACAATATTAAACTCTTTTTTATTGCAATATATATTATGTCAAATATGTATATAATATATTATATAGAAACTATTTCATTATTTAGTAGCAGTCTATAGCGCCTGCTTAGAAGAGTTATTTTAAGTTATATATAGAATACTAAAAGGAACAAATACATTTATTTTTGAGCCAATATCAGTAGAGTGGAGCAATAAATGATTGTTAAACGCGATAAAAAGATAAAACTGTTTTCCTTTTTATACAATATTATTTAATTGTAACACGCAACAAATCATATAGTGTATTTGTTGTTCTAATATTATATTTTGTTATTTATAGGGTATATTAATATTCTTTATCTTTGAAAGTTGGTAATGGTAGCACCTTTGCTACTACTTGAAAGATAAAAATTTTTTATTGCATTTCGATCAGATAAAGTCAATGTGTATAAATGTGATATGATATCCATTCCATAGTCCAGCGGCGTAGCGACGTAAGCAGTGTTCATGCATACAAGAGCACTAAAAGTAAGAACACAAATATAGGAATGGTGCTAAATACTCGTAGTAAGCAGCGATCAACACTAAAGATATTTATGATTAGAACGTGTACCTACAAATCTATTGTGATGTATGACAGCAGCAACCAATGTAGATACGGATATTATAATTATTTTACGTCAATAGATGAATTTATATATTTTACTTTACTTTATTTATGCAGTCTATGTCTATATGAATGCGAAACGGTATTTTCCAGTTCTAATAACTTCATTAGAAACATTCATTAGAAACAACTTTTGATAGAGAAAATGAGTGCAATGTTCATAGTGACAACTTGGTTAAGTGGAATTCATTTCATTTGGATTTATTGGGAAAAAATCTCTCAATTTATTAAGGTAGCTGTACAATAAATTGCTACTATAAAATTGGGCATAAAAAAATAAAAAGGTAAAAATATAAAACTTTTTATTAGTGAACAATAAATCGTATTGGTTAACTTTGTACTCCATTGAGCAATTAGCAAAAATTGCCATAAAAACACATAGAAATGAATGTTTGCTTGTCTATTTAAATGATACTGATATGAACTTATTTTAGCGAGGCACGTCTGTAGTATTTGGGTATCTTGTCAAAATATTTTATTGCCTAAGTTGATTTATATCACTTAACATGTCCATAAGTAAATAGTAACTGTGTACGGCAATATCGACGACACATTTGGCGATTTTATTGATAAATCGAAGAACAATTTTAACAATCGGATAATGTGATAATGTGATAAAGCTGCAGGTGACTGGTTAAGTATTTGTTTTTCTGTGATAAAGTATGGTTAACTAACTACTGTTTTTATTGTAAACTAAAGTGCAGCGTTTACAATATACTCGTATCTTTATTTTTATAATGGCATAATAAATGTAAATATAAATACAATAGCAGTTAAGAATAATGAATTGCTGCTTTTTTTATTATCGATTTAGAAATTAATATTTTAATCCATAGATAATGTAAGACTATAAGGGTGTAATGTGTCTTTTAACTTCAACCAACCAAGAGTTGTATTATCGTCACTCATAGAACAAAGCATTGAAATATTGAAATTGCTGCTTTAAAGTCTCAAAGACATGAACTACCTAAATAGTTTATATGTTTAACCCTCTTCAGAAAACTGAATAACGATAAGGGTGTTCATATTTTGCTTTAAAATTATCAAATATTTTAAAAATTTTTTAAATAGAATGGGTTTGGGTTTTAGTTTTCGTTTTATTTTGAAATAAGCAACTGGAAAAACATATTTTTTTATGTTTGTTTATGATTTACAATTGCATTCCTTTTAAAATCTAAAACATTTTTAAATTATAACTTTTATTAGGCTACTCTAGTCTTGTGACTGGAATGTAAATAACGTATTGGTCAAAAAACGTCAATATTAATGAAAACATTTTGTTTTTTAAATAAATTTTTCGTTTTTTAGTGCTGTTAGCTTGCGCTTTCCTGGTGCTATTGGTACTGTTAATTGGCTTTTTTATTGTTTTTTCTTTATTATTGTATTAGTTTATTATGTTGAGTACTATTGTTTTTTTAGAAAAAGTTTCATAATAACCAAATATATATTTAATGAACTTAGATTAAAGTAGAAACTTTAATAAAAATAAATAATATTTTAATAAAAAGTATATCAACACACCTCATACATATATAAAATAGTTGATTATTAATATTTGAAATTGGCTCTATGGCAAAGTAAGACCACAATAGTGAATATAGCTTAAATGATATCTAGTAATGTAAACGTTGAGAAAGAAACGTTATTCCACCGTTATTTATAAATATATAGAGTGTTAAATATTTAAATATCGCGGAGTGTTTTATAATTTTAGATCTAAAAATTATTGATGCAATATCAACAAGTGTAATTTTTCCTTAAATTTATAGTTAACATAAAATTAGCAAATAAAATGTATTTACGAGCAAAAATGCACAGGTCAATGTTGCACAAGTTGTTTAACAAACGTATTACATTTTTGGATAAATATATTTTTGTTGTGTACATACAATAAAGTTTTTCAAAACTTTAATCAAATAAATATTAAAGAAATTTTTAAAAAATATATTTACTTAAAATAATATACGTATACAAAAAAAATTAAACATGAAAGTAAAATATTGAAAAAAATGAATTTATTTATTTATGTTTACTTACTAATTGGGTGCTTGCAAGGGTTTGTTGCAAATATTTCTTGGAAATATGGACTACAAATAGCCAGTACAATTTTATGAGCATGTAACAGTTTTCCATCGCAGGCTAAAGTCACATCAACGAGATCCCCACGATCATATAAATTTTGGAAGCCGCTTGCAATGTTGTCTTGAAAATTTTTCCAACAGAGCTTAAATTCATCATCCATTTTGCTGGCTTTAAATGTAATCCGCATAAAAGGTTAAACTTTTCTTTATTGTAATTAAAACTTTTTAGTAATCAAAGTTTGACAATAAGCAATAGAATTTTCTGTTGTCTTTTCAACAAATGTTAGTTATAATTGTTTGCACTCTTTTGACATTCCCAAACGGAAAATGTCAAATTATTTCATTCACATAAAAATTGGAGAGAATCTACTTTATTATGCGTATTTTAAAAGTAATTAATAAAAATTTTTTTTTTTTTTTGTAAATAACCGTTTTCTAAATTATATTTATAAACGTATAGTTTTTACTAAGATGAAAACATATTTATTCAAAAACCAAATAAAAAACATCGTTTTTAGAAGTGTTTAAGCCAATAGTAAAAAAAATATTTACACATCCTTTTAGTGACCGGAAAATCAAAATCCATATATAACATAATATTATTAGCACTGATACATTGTAATTAAATTGAGGATGTCACTAATATTATGTATCCAGACAAAAACTGTTATTATATGTTAATCATCTCCAACTCTTAGTAGTAATAACGTACACAGAAAAAATTAGACTGCAGTGAATGGCTTAACGAATTCCGTTGAAAGCAAAATTATAAAAACAATAAAAACAGTGTTGCCAAAATATCATTAAACATGTACTAAAATTTTGTACTAAACTTCAAGTAATGTATTTTTGTTAGCATATAGAAGTATGTAAGTTAGATATATGCATACATATCACAGTAATAATAATAATAATTTATTTAGAAAAACATTTAACATTTACATGAATAAAGAACACAAATTTTTAATGTACGAGTAATACATTAAATTATTCAATGTGTAATTACCTTGATTGTTGTTTCTGATTTTTTATATGATATTGAATAAACTAAAGTTTCAAAGCTCAAGTATCTAGTGCTTTTCATCACAATATGGTGAAAAGTGTTTTGTATAAAAAACTATAATGTGTCGATTTATATCATGCCCTATTACTTTTATTCTTTTTAATTCGTTATTTGTTATTTAGAATTTTACTATACATATAGATAACTCAAAACTATTGTTATATTTTTACAATACTTTAAAAAATAATAAAATCACTAATAATGTCATTTAGAATTTTATTATAATTATTTTATTATATAATTTTATTATAAAATTTATTAAATTTTATTTTATTACTATTGTTATATTTTTACAGTACTTTAATAAATAATTATAAATTCAGTAATTATGCTGTTTTAAATTTTTTTTAATGCATACAAATAACGATTAAAAATGCTTGTAAAGAGCATATATTTTATTTATCAAGAGCATTTGTAATCTTGACAATTTATCACGAATAGAGCTTTTTATTTATAGCATAGAATACCAAAGCCTTGACAAATAAGAAAGATTGTGAATAATTGTCAATACTTTACAAATTTGTTAAGTTCACAGAATCGGTCCAAAAATCGTAATATAATTATCTTACCATTATTTGTGAATATTTGAAATAGACAAAAATTTTTTCCTACCAACATACTGGTTGCATACATTAGACAGTTTTTAAAAAAGGCTTTATTAAGATTGTTACCACTGAGTATGCAAATAATATTTTATTTTTTATTTATTTACGAAGAAATTAACTATATGAATAACATATACGTATTTAAGAAAAAAGTAATAAAATATGTTTTTTTTTAAATGAATTTGTTTAATATATTTCAATTTGAAAATCTAAATTTCTTGTATGCAATTAAAATTCTAACAAACACAAAAATAGATAACATGACTAAATTTCTTATCTATCGGACTAGTTTCTTATGAACCACTTAAGCTTAAATGAGGTACATATATGATGAATAACACTGTTCCCTACTTATTCATTAATTGGTATATATATTAGTCTTAGTATATTATTATTTTTAATTCTTTTAAAATGATAATAATATTCTAATGAATATGTTAAAACTATTTACTAAGATTTCTTAACTATTTATGCAGCTTTTGGATTTAAAAGTTTATCAACACGTTTATGCGCAATATTATAAACAAATAATGCTAACTCAATCAGTATTTTCTAATGAGCCACTGTGTTCTAAATCTTATCAGTAGGGTAGTAAAAGTTTTTGTTTTTGTTCAATATTTGTGGTGCTATTTTAACACCTAACACCTACATATCACAAAAATATTTGTCATAAGCAGGAAATAGTTCAATAATTATATTTTAAACAATTAAGTGCAATTATATTACTTAAATTCAGTTGTATTAAAATGGGCAATTGTTGCAGTAAGAAAATATTTTGCTTATTTTGTGTATTCGGTATTTTGTGTATTAATGTTTTATATTATTTTAGGTACCAAAAAGTCTTTCGACTTACCGTCATCAACAGCACCTGCTCCTGCTACCAAAAAGTCGACGCTCCCACAAATGCCGCCAGCCAATTCAACAAGTGCTGGTGTTACAAATAATGCTCTTGAGTCAGATTAATTATGAAATAAAAATATTTATTCAAAAAGCATTAATATAGTATCATACTCAGTATTGAAATTAACTTTATATAAAAATAGTGATAAATTATTGTTTTTATGCTTGTATGTAGAAAATACAAATTTTTCTAACCTAAAAATCAGTAAAGTAAATATGCCGTGTGTAAATAAATAATTACTATATTTATTTATATTAAATATACTAAATATTATAAAAGATATTTATAATAATAACACAAAAACTGTTACTGAAAGTGCACAAAAAGTACTTTTGCAGTATCAATAAAAGTTGCAAGAAAAATGTAAAAATTAATGAAAAATATAAAATAAAATTCAAGTTTGTGATGCTTTTAAAATATGGAAAATTAATTTAATGCTCAAAGTCTACTTTGGGACATATACACAGAGCTTGAAATTATATAAATTATAAATAAAAAAAAATTATTTACCAATCTTTGAGCGTAACGATTTAATAAGAAAAATAACATTAATAAGACAACCGTTTTACTGAAAAACTAAAATAGTGGAATAATTTTGTCAATATCGATCATTGATTGTTTTTCTATTATTAATAACAATCAAAAACACCGAATGACGTAGTAGATTTTTAAACGGTAGCTTGCATTGAGCCTTAATAAAATCGATTTTTGATCATTATGATAAACTAATTAATTTTTAACTAAGCCACGGGTATAAATTAAAGTTAGGCTCTACTCTGTTAAAAGAGAAAAAATCCCATCTAAAGTATGATATAGACGATGCTACATGTATGCATACCAAAAATGCCGTGCTATCAAATCGGACTGCGTATATTTACTGTGTATATAGACCAAATTTTGGTCTGCAGACCACATTGTTTTAAAATGTATAGCAAAGTGCATACTTCGTAAGTAATCGATTTTCAACTTGATACAAATTCCCAGTGTGCAGCTATATTATTTTCTTGTAGTTATATGTTCCAATTTTTCTTGTAGTTATTATATATATGTTCTATTATGCAAATGATTTTTTCTATAATTATACACACAAATTTTTACTTATTTTTTTCAATGTTTCAGTTATTAAAGTTTAACTGGTTACTACAACAATACATATAACTATAATATAATTTTCACAGAGTTATACAATACACACTTAAGTTAAATAGCTATTAAGTTTTTGATAGTGGCACTAAAGTGTCAATTAATATGAATGTATGTGTCACTTTAAAATCAAATTGAACTTAAGTGTGATTTATAAAATTAGACCTAAAATAATCTAATTTTACTTTGTTTAAATATGATTCATTTTTTTTTACAATTTAACTTATAACAAAATAGTTTGATAATTTTAATTGTTTTATGCAATTCCCACTATATGAAATTTTAACAAATCCTGCACTTATAATATCGTTCAAAATAAAATATATTCACCACAGCTATCAAAAAGGCAGTGGTTAATATTTCGTCTATTGTGAATGTTCCATGTATTCATACAAGTGCAAAATGTCTGAATGTCTGATTAGAAATTGCAGTAAAAATACTTAACATTCGGCGAAATACCAAAGCAGTTTCGTGTCTGACTCAAAATCGTGTTGACGTGTTTGGGATTTATAGTAAATAAATAAAAGTAGAAAATCTTGTTTGGTAAAATCATAATGGCCGGTAGGTGAATAGTAGTAACTACCATGTCAAATTAATGTAACATTACATAGTAATTACTTATATATAATGGAATAATTATAATTTAGGTCCAAATCCATTTGCGCAGTACCAAAAATCGTTCTCTAAGGATGGTGAAAATTATAAATATTTTGATATAGCTGAAATTGATAAAAAATATGGTAAGATTTGAAATGAAAAAGTTTTAATTAAAGAATTTTTGAAAAAGTGTGTGTAAAGTTGAATAGGAGTTGTGCAACAAAACTAGTTACTACGCACTATAGCGAGTTTTGGATTTTGACCTCTTTCACTAACGAATTAATTAAATAGCATATTTACATATGCGAATTCATTATTTGTATTCCAATTTTCAGTTTAATAAACGTATCACTACAAACGTACTACCTAAACGTAGGCTAATTTAATATAATTTTTCAAAATCGAAAGTAGAGAACTTACAACCTTATGTTAGAGGTCTTGTGTGCGATAAACTCAAATGAAAAGTATAATTTATTTGCGTATTTTTTTTATAAATGAATGAAGTCCTAATATAACAAAAATTCACACGTCTTCGGAATATATGAGGTGACTTCTTCCGCCTGTCTTATCTTTAATCTTCAGCTCTTGTATAATATGCTATAGATTTTATGCAAGTAATAATTTCTCATCACTTTTAGTATTAAATTGATCAATTTAATACAATAAGTGTGTAAAAATTGATAAGTTTAGGCTAGGCATTATGTCTCGTTCTTATAAATAAAGTTATAATAAAGAAAAAATATATTGAATATATTCAGCCAACCAATAGTAAATTTAATATAAAACTTTATTATTTTTACAAATATACTGCAAAATGTATATTAAAAAGAAAAATTTATTTATTCCGCATCGATCGAAATTAAAAAAATAAATAAATTACTATAAGAGAAAAGCTTGAACAAATTAAAATAAATGCTTTTAAAGTAATTAAATTATCTAATATTTCGACATTTGATAAGGCATTAACAGACTTACTTTACTTAGAATGTGTCAAACATTTTATCGTTTTTAATTATTCATATAATAAAAAAAAATAACTAAATTTAAATTTTTTTCTAAAAATAATTGTTATTTTCCAAATAGTGTAAAAGGTATTAAATTGCATTTTTCTACACAATAATCTTATCAGTATAAGACATTTTGTTTATCTTTATGAATATGACCAGTAATACCTGATTTTCGTTAAACTCTTTTAAATTTCACTGATAATATTAAATTCAAATTTTTGTTTTATTTATTGCGTTTTATTTTACAATAGCACACTTAACATATGGTCTTAATGAAAACAGATATAATGCTAATTGAGAATAATATTTTTTTCTTATTGAATTAGATCAATTACCTTTTTCCATACGTGTGCTTCTGGAATCCGCTGTACGCAATTGTGACAATTTTCACATTCTTGAACAAGATGTGCACAGCATACTTGGTTGGTCACCAAATCTAAAACAGGGTCAAAATGATGTCGAAGTATCATTTAAGCCAGCACGTGTGATATTGCAGGTAAATTATTTTCACGCTGCTTCCTGCTAAGTTTTTAGAAAATATATTTTCATTAGGACTTTACTGGTGTACCTGCTGTAGTAGACTTCGCAGCTATGCGTGATGCCGTTTTGGAGCTTGGTGGTAATCCAGAGAAAATTAATCCTATATGTCCAGCTGATTTGGTGATTGATCATTCTGTACAAGTTGATTTTGCCAGAAGGTAAAGTAATTTAAATGAAAAAAATGAAAAATATGGTTTTAAAAAAAATTTTTTTCTAGTCCGGATGCTTTAAATAAAAATCAAAATCTAGAATTTGAACGTAACAAGGAACGTTTCACTTTCTTAAAATGGGGTGCACGTGCCTTTAATAATATGCTTATTGTTCCACCCGGGTCGGGTATTGTACATCAAGTGAATCTGGAGTATTTAGCTCGTGTTGTTTTTGAAGCTGATGAAAATGGCAGCAAAGTCTTGTATCCCGACAGTGTAGTAGGTACAGATTCACACACTACAATGATCAATGGTTTAGGAGTGCTCGGCTGGGGTGTTGGTGGTTAGTATATGCTTCTATTTACGTGATTTATAAACTTAATTTTAATAAATTTTTTTTTTGATGGTAGGTATTGAAGCTGAAGCTGTTATGTTAGGTCAATCAATTTCCATGTTATTGCCTGAAGTGATAGGCTACAAGTTAATTGGTAAACTAAGTCCCTTAGTTACGTCAACTGATTTAGTTTTAACAATTACGAAGCATCTACGCCAGTTAGGAGTTGTTGGAAAATTTGTTGAATTTTACGGACCTGGTGTAGCTGAATTAAGTATCGCTGATCGTGCAACCATAAGCAACATGTGCCCTGAATATGGCGCTACAGTTGGATATTTCCCTATCGATGTCAACACTTTATCCTATATGAAGCAGACAAGTACGTATAGTTATTGTGATTTTTTATTAAATATCATAAGTATATAATCCATTTTTAATTTCAAGACCGTTCTGAAAAGAAAATTGATATCATTAAGAAGTATTTAGAAGCTACTGGCCAATTACGTGATTATTCAAATGAGGTTCAAGATCCTTTGTATAGTCAGGTAAGTTCTATTTTAACACATAATATTAATTAAATATAATAATATTTTTTAGACTATATCTTTGGATCTCTCCACCGTTGTAACGTCCGTTTCTGGCCCCAAAAGACCACATGATCGTGTGTCCGTTTCAGACATGCAGAAAGATTTTAATTCCTGTTTAGTCAATCCGGTAAGTTGAGCTGCACTTCATAGATTTGTTGCAATATTTTCACTGTTATGAGATAAACAAAGCCCAGTGATGGATACTAACAATTTATTAGACACAACTGAACTTGGTATATCCCATAAACTGAAATTTAATTTAAATACCAAAACTAAATACTATAATTGCACAACAATTCAATCACTGCTTTTGCACATTATTCATATTATTCATTCAATCAGAAGCTTACAAAAGAGCTATCTAAAAGAAACAGCAACTGTGATATGAATAATGCGAAAATAAAATCACGGCTACTATTTCCTTAGATAACTCAATATAAATTTTATGGCGATTGATAAGTTTGATTGATAAAAACATCAAATTAGAAAGAATCACGTCAGAATTCGAAATCAGAAACGTTAACAAGTATTTTTCACAGCGAATTGCATCGATGTTCTAGCTTTATGATTACTTTCTGTGACTTTCGCAATCCATCATAAACTAGTACACCAAAGCAGTTAGTTGTGAACTGAGTAAAAGCTAAACACCGTGACTGCACTATGTATTACCGAGAGGTGTAAGTATACGTTTATTACTAAGTAATTAGCAGTCGTAACAGTTCTTATAAGTTAACTGCGTTCAATGTCCATTTACCAGACTCAAATTACAAAATGGCAAATTTTTCGAAATAAAAATAATTTGCTTTAGTTAGCAAAAAGATTGCAAAAATTTTGCATACCTTGTTATAAATTGAAAAAATTAAATAAAATTATTTACTACACAGCTATATGGCTTAAATGAAAAGAATTAATATATATATGCATGTCACATAAATTTATTATAAACTTATTTATGGTCAGCAAAAAATAGTTTTTAATGTTAAGCGTTTAAACAATTTCGTTTAAACAATTTCGACAGCGCTTCCTAAATATTTAAAGTAATTTTTCAAACATTTTCTTTTTATACAAAGAATCAGTTTTCAATAAAACCATTTAAAAAAAGTTTAACAGCCACTGTATTTAATTTGAACACAAACATTTTTAATATAAAATTTGTCCATAAGTAGGTTACAAAATGTTTGATTCATTTCCGGAGTTAATTTGACCTATTTATAGAGAAGATTTTAAAAAATATATGCCATTGAACTTTTTATTTATATATCTAGGTGGGATTTAAAGGTTATGGTATACGTCCACAATCACTAACAGCATCTGGAGAATTTCAATGGGATGATGGCAAGACCTATACCATTAAGCACGGTTCAGTTGTAATAGCTGCTATTACATCATGTACGAATACGTCCAATCCATCCGTCATGCTCGGTGCAGGCATGTTAGCCAAGAAGGCAGTAGAAAAAGGATTAAGTATCAATCCTTACGTCAAAACCTCTCTTTCTCCTGGTTCTGGTGTAGTAACTTACTATTTGAAAGAGTCAGGTGTTATACCTTATTTAGAAAAACTTGGATTTGATATTGTGGGATATGGTTGTATGACTTGTATTGGAAATTCTGGCCCACTTGAAGAAAATATTGTGAATACAATAGAGAAGAATGAGTTGGTGTGTTGTGGTGTGCTTTCTGGTAACAGAAATTTTGAAGGACGCATACATCCAAATACGCGTGCTAATTACTTGGCAAGTCCATTATTAGTTATTGCTTATGCTATTGCGGGACGTGTAGATATTGATTTTGAAACTGAATCATTAGGAATTGACTCCAATGGCGATAAAGTTTTCTTGCGTGATATTTGGCCTACTCGCGGTGAAATCCAAGAAGTTGAAAATAAATACGTGATACCAGCTATGTTTCAAGAAGTGTATAGTAAAATTGAATTGGGATCGCAAGACTGGCAAACTCTGCAAGTCTCAGATGGAAAACTATATCCATGGAGTGCACAATCTACATATATTAAACGACCACCCTTCTTTGAAGGTATGAAACGTGAGTTGCCTAAATTGAAGAGCATAGAAAACGCACGCTGTTTGTTGTTTTTGGGTGATTCTGTCACCACAGATCACATTTCACCAGCTGGTTCCATCGCACGCAATTCACCAGCAGCAAGATTTTTGTCTGGTCGTGGACTAACACCGAAAGATTTCAATTCATATGGTTCACGTCGTGGAAATGATTCAATAATGGCACGTGGTACATTCGCAAATATACGTCTTGTCAACAAGTTAATTTCTACAACTGGTCCAAGAACGAAACACATTCCAAGTGGAGAAGAAATGGATGTTTTTGATTGCGCCGAAAGGTAAATTGTAAACATTGTACTTAGACAACAAAAAATGCATATACTTTCAATTCATTAGGTATCGTGAAGAAGGAACACCGTTGGTTCTTGTCGTTGGAAAAGACTATGGAAGTGGTTCATCGCGTGATTGGGCAGCAAAGGGACCGTTCTTGCTTGGTATTAAAACTGTAATTGCTGAGTCTTACGAACGCATACATCGGTCGAATTTGGTTGGAATGGGAATTATACCATTACAATTTTTACCAAATCAAAATGCTGAAACTCTTAAGTTAACTGGCGATGAGGTGTATAATATCTCTTTGCCCGAAGAAGGTTTAAAACCGGGACAGATAATAAAAGTCAAAGTATGAAATATCGTAATTTATAATTTAAGCAAAACTTTTAATTATTATAATTTTTAGGCAAATAATATTGTTTTCGATACAGTTTTAAGGTTCGACACTGAAGTAGATATTACTTACTTCAAGAATGGCGGAATTCTAAACTACATGATACGCAAAATGCTGGATTAATAAAACTAAATAGAAAATATTTTAAATAAGCATTTTAATATAAAACTTATATTAACTTTTATATGGTGACGTTGCGAATTAATAAACATTTTACAACATAATATGAAAATCTCATTATTAATTATTAAAGGGTATAAATCCATTATACCATTATATACGAAGCATAGACAATATATGAACATTTTATTTATAGTTTATTTCTAAATCAGGAACTACTGAAGAATTTAGAATCAAGCACATCTACTTATTTATACTGAATTAAATTTGGAAAATATAAAAACAAATAGAAAGTAAAGTTGGAATTCTCTGTTTGTACTTTATTGCTATACACATAACTTTGCCACACAATTACTTATATCTAACAATTAAAATGGTAACAACTTATATTCCCTTAGAGAATATGTTAATTTTTATTATCGGCCTCTATGACGTCCATTTTAAATTTACAATTTTATGATAAAACTAACTCAATAAAAATATAACAATTTTACTACTAACAATTAATTTAAAAATAAATACTTTAAATATGCTACAATTTCTAGTGCTTAAGTAAACATTCAAAGTTTTTTTTTATCTATTATCTGTTGGCATATATATGTATATATATACAATAATTATGTTTATAACACTGTTTTTACTGTCATCATTAAATATATTAAATCATATATAAGAAGGTAATTGATTTATAAAATAAAATTTTCTTTTCTTTGGTTGAAGTTATTAAATTGCGCTGCAAATATATTGTTTTCATTAAATTACAAGTCTACCATTATTGTAACATTTCTTTAAATGCAGTTATTGGGTGTACGATTTTGTGCATTAATTTTATGCCATGGCGGTTACCAACGAATTTTATGTTTATATTGTTCATCTATGGCTATTCGTTTTATTGTTTCATAACCTAAAATTATGCTAAATGAGAATGCTGCTGATTGCACAAGTCGAGCTGAAAGTCCTTTTGAGAAACAACTTAACTTTTCTTCTCGCCACAACTCTTCAAACGCTGTTTTCATGGAATCCAAACGATGAACCTTTAAATATATTTAATTTAAATTAATTCAATTTATACTTGGACACCACTGTAAGATGTATTATTTTACCTGTAAACGAGCTCTTACGATGTCTAATGGATTTGTAAGTATAGTGGTAGTGAACCCCCCTAGAGTGCCAGCAACGCACTGTATGAGTAAGTGTGATACCCACGGAGGGCATAATCGATGCAACTCATCTGAAAAAAAAAAACAAAATTGTTAAATAATATTAAACATCAGTTTTAAAGCACTTACCCTGATATAGATGATAGAAAGCCCACCACATAGCAGAATTTGGCACATAAGCCATTAAACTTGCAGCGTATCCTCTATAAAATCCCCGAATCCCATCTCGTTGTAAAATCTCTCGCGATATATCCATGGATATGTTAAGTCGACTCCGGTCTGGTCCTGTTTTAATACCTAAAGGATTTATATCACCTTTACTGCCTGCATGCGCGGCCATACCAAGTACCATAGCATGTTGTGATATCACATCGAAAGGAACTATTATAGTTTGACCGACTAACGATGCACAGCCACCCGCAATTAGCGCTTTTGTACGATGTCCTGCACCTATTTCATTTAGAATGTGCCTAACTCCTTCATATGTGCTTATGTAAAATACACCCGATACAATTTGTACTGATGAGATCCAAAATCCTCTATATAATCCTGGTATCCCTTCTGTACGATAAATTTTAATAGCACAATCGATCATCCCTTTGTAAACATCACTTCTGTGTTGCACTTGTAATTGGGTCTTAATAACAGTCAATGGAAAAAGACAACAACGTACTGAAAATGAACTTAACATAGATAACGGGAAAAATTTCGCTTTATTCATCATATCCCATTCAATAGTGCGTATATATGGTGCAGCATCATTGGCACCAGCAGATCCGGATGCTATTGCGGTCGCGACAGACACACGACTTATTGTGCTATCTTCTACGGGGGCTGACATAATTGTATTTACATATATACATGCGCAGACTTGAAGTAATATTGCATCATTAATTCAACTTTTTAAAAGCATCACCAATGACGTTTTATTCCAGAATAATATATTATCATGTGTACACTATTTACGATAAAAAGATACGATTTTTTTGAACATATTCCAACACATTAAAATTGAAGGTATATAATTAATTACCTTGGCCTTGATACTTCTTTTTTTAAATGAACTTTGCCCACGTTTAGGTAGCTTTATATATAGAGTTTTTTTTTTTTTTTGAAAAATTCAGTGCTCCTGTTGCTATTTTTTGTTTATATTAAATATTAAGATGTGTTATATTATATAAGTGAAAATATATTTTAGGGGTGATAGCACCCCCTCCCACTTCTCTATAATATTAATATTTGCATTTTTGTGACGACATTCTGCTGGTTAAATGTTAACAATCGTACTTATTGCCTGATAGGCATATTTACCATGATGTTTACTATCCTTTATATAAAATATATTTAATGCTTCAACGCAAATTTAAAACAAAAAACCAGAATTATAAAACTATTGTCATTACAAAACATATATAATTTTCTTTTGACAAAAGAGCAAAACAGAGAATATGCGAAATATGTCAACGTCATTTCCATATCATATGTTTTAGTAGTGCTTAATAATTGCTTAAAACAGTGTTAGAAAGTGTAATAACATATCATAAAATATTAATAATAATAGTTTTTATGTGGAGTACATAAATGTTTGCGTTTGCTCTTGATAACAAAAACGTGTTTTATATTTTAGCACTGGAAAATCTATATTAGGTTTTACTGTTAAAAATGTATATACGAGTTTGAAATTAAAATAGTTTAGAAAACTTTTTATTATACATATATGTTAATATGAATTTCAAATAGTATCTCTGCTCGATAATGTATGAACTATCTGAAACTATGAATGAATTAATAAAGAAACTTTACAATTATTTATTTAACCATATTAGTTATATATAGAAGAAAAGAATAAATCAATCATGCAAATAATTACAATTTTAATGTAGATAGTTGACTGTTTATATATCAGGAATTGATATGTTTTTTTAAGAACAACAAAAATGGAACTACAAATCGCGTGAAAAACTGAAAATAGATATCGTAACATTTAAATGTAATTATTTAACATTAATATTATATAACATTAAAATAAATTAAATTTACATTATTAATAACAAAAATTTAATGCAGATTGGAAGTATTTCATATATTAAAATCTTGTTCAGTAAACTGTCTAAGAACATATAATTTAAGAGATTCCTCTATATTTTTTGGCTATCAAAATATAGAAAAGTAACATAGGATTATAATTTTTAATTGATTGGAATCTGCATAATACCGTTATGCACACAAAGTATTTGATATTAAAAACTATATAAAATTTTGCCTTAAATTATATTATAAAATGAATTAAATCTATAAAATGTATTAAAGCATTGTAGAAGTTTTCATCATAAATTCAAAAAAATTGTGACCTATTCCCGTTTTCATCAACAATAAATTAAAATTAATTTATGAAAAAATTTTGGAATAATTGTGTAAGAACAGCAAATATTAGTAATTAAATAATCTCAAACAAAACTACAAACAAATATAAAAAATTAAAAACATACAAAATTCAAAAATTTTTATAACTTAAAATGGGCGGAGTAAAAACTTATTTATTTGTATACAATACGTATAAATATATTTACAGAAATTTATGCCCAATTGAATTTCTTATGTTTTATATATATATTCAGGACATGCGCAGGACGATGCTCCTCCCTTTAGTGTGGCATATAAAATTCCTATAGATTAAATACGCCAATATTAAGTTTTTACAATTCTTTAAATAGTATTAAAGGAGTTTTACTCCTGTGAAGATGTGAATTGTGATACAAATATTTTTACACATTCTTAATTATGTGTTATCATGTTTGTTAAGTTAATAATTAAGATATTTGAGTTTTTGTCAAATTGGAGACATAATTTTATCACTAAATATTTAAAAACTCAGTAATTTAATGGAAAATTTGAATGGAATGTATAATGAAAAAATAGAGTACCATATACAAAAACAGTTTGATATACAACAATCAATAAATTATCAGTTCTTACTAAATCAACAATTATCGGAACCTAACAATTTAAAAGATACAACAAAACTGGTAAGAATTCAATTCAGAAAATTCATCTTCCGCAATGTTCATAAAGCGTCATAAAGCTAGAACATCTTCAAATATATTTATTTACTTGTAAAAATTTTATTAATATCACTATGTTATAATTCTATGTATATAACTTACGTACTACGTACAATAATAAATAAAGTAATTTAAGTAATGTTAATTTGTATAAATCCTAATTATTTTTTATCCGTAGCTTAATGTGTATCCCATGTTCTCCATTAAAGTTTCCTTAATAGCTGGCTGTAGTGCTCTTTGCATATAAGTTGTAAGTAAACTCCGTACACCCATTGAAAATAACTTTTCTAATTCACTAGTAAGTGCCTCATCAATTTCATTACCTTCTCCAAAATTTGTGGGATACAGCCCTCTGCCATCATTATTGTTATTAAATAATTGAGCAAATGCTCTAGCATCTGGTTGTACTAACTCCTGCAAGTCATCACCAAAATTCAATATATCAGCACTAAAATTGACTTTGTCGCCCATTGGTACATTAAAGGAGCGGAAAGGTTCACTTGTACCCCGTTTATATCTAAAATGTCTGCGATAAAAATTATCGCCATCTACGCTATAGGGTTCGTGTGAATCATTTTCGTTATTATTCCACAATAATTCCTGATCTCTTAAATTTTTCTGTCCATAGTTAGTACTGCGTATGTCATAAATTGGATTATAGGGATTATGAAACTTGCCCCAACGCTTATTATTATCTGTACCCATTATAACTTGTGGCTCTGAAAGCTCAATCTCAGGCGCTGAGGATGTTGTGTGATGTTCGGCTACAACTCCAAAACGCCGTTTAGAGTTTTGTCGCAGCCTTATACCAGTTGGGCCTTGACAACCATGTGCAAAAACGGATATAAAACCGGGTTCAGCAAAATGCGAATCCGTGCGTACAGATGCTGATCCCATTCGTCGTGATTCTTCATTATTAGCTACATTAAAGCCAATGGGTATTGTACGAAATTCGATACCTGCATGTCGGAGACGTAATATCATTTGACATTTGCCTCCAGTAGGTTGAAGGACTATTTTACCACTTAATGTTAAATCTGGAAAAATGAGACGAGTATCTAACGTTGAGTTTTCTGCACTAAATTTACATTTGTCTATTTCTACCCAATGATTGGCTACTTTTGAAGGCAACTTTACACGTAAATCTTCCACATCAACTCTCGACACTGACAATTTATGTGGTTGTCGCGGGCTATTAGATATGGCTTCGAAATCGAAAGGATCGTTAATATTACGATTTATATTTTTTGTGAAATATCCACGTGCACTACCGCCAGAATAAAAATCGTCTTCAGAATCGCTTTGTTGTCCGTAAAGGGAATAATATAAAGTGTAGGGTGTTTCTTGATATTCGTAATTCATTGAACGCGAGGCTGGTATTTGAATATTACGTCTACGCATATGTTCTAATGCGTTTTCCAATCGATTAGAGCATCGCTGTTGTTTATAGGGCTGAGAGTAGGTAACTATAGATAAATATAAATAAGAATATTTAAATAATATTAAAGGAATATTTCAAGATTCAATGTATTTAATTTATTTAATTTAATTTATGTCAACAATACTTATTAATTATAAATTAGTATAATAGTTGTAAGCAGCTTTATTTCCAGAAATTTATGAAATATTTTTAATTCTCAGCTCATATGGAAAATTGAAAATACATATCTTCTTAAGCCCCAATTACAAATTACCAATTATTTTTTCACTTTTTAAAATTATGAAACAAATTAGCCATTTTTCACCTAATAAATAAAAATAATATATACAAATATATGAATAGAATAAGACTAGGCGCCTAACCAAGAAGACGGCGGTGTTTGAGGGACTGAAGTCCCTTATTCGAAATGAATTAAACGATTACATGTTTATTCATTACTGGTGTATTATGACATGACTAATTTGTAAATAAAAGTGTAGTCGTTTCAACATTTTAAAAGCTTCTTTTGAAAAAATTTCTGACTACAGCCTGAGTAGGTTATAAGTAATATTCTATAAAATAAAATCTTATTTTTAATTACATATAAAATTTTAATTATTTTAAAAGGCAGAATGTAAAAAATAATGCCTCTACAAAAGAGTGGTATTGAAATTGAACAATTAAAAATAATAATATAATTAATTAATTCAAATATTCTACAGCTGGTTTATGAGTTCGTTCTAATATAACAAATTAAGTAAATTTGTTAATGAACTTTCACAACAAATTTAATAAAACTTGAAGTTCGAAAATACCAATCAAGTGCGGCTTTGAGTCAGTTGACTACACACTGACCCTGAGCTTCAAATGTGGCAGGGCACGAGTTCAATCCCTGGTACTTGTAATCTCAAAAAAATTATTTACAAATAATTAAATAAAAGAAATAATTCCAAGACCACTGATGATGGGAATTTGGCAATACTCGAAACATGACAATACTGTATGTTAATCTAAAAATTCAATTAATAAAACAATAAAATTTGTTTGTTGTAATTTAATACTGCTCGAAATACCTCTCTATTTAAAACAATAGTTTATACTAAGAATTTAGTTTCGTAGTCCAAAATCAATCTAATTTTTAATTATATTTAATAACAAATACAATTTTCGTTATGAAACTATTAATATAAAATAAAATTAAATTCACTATTTTTATAAAAGAAGAAAATGAATACAATATTTTTCTATCACTTCCTCCATGAAGGTTTTTGCCCCTAAGAAAACCCTAATATTGATCTGTAACAGTTAGAAATGACAATGTTATTAATTTCTTAATATATTCACTCATTTTATATGATATGATAATCACAATATTTTTTTTACATTAAATTTTGTATGAATTTATAATAAAAAAATTGTTTATGTGCCGGTAATTAAATAAATAAAAATTGTACAAATTTTTATTGATCGCTTTTAACTATTTTTTTTTTAAATATTTTTTAATATTTTAAATTAAGACTATTATTTTTAATAAAAATATTTTCATTTAAAATTTTATTATTTGATAAGTTTTACTTTGATTTAAAATATATTTCTGCCTTTGTTCCAAACTTTTTTAATTTATTACTTTTTTTATATTTTTTACAATTTTATTATTATTTAAATAATTCAATATTTCGTGTTTCACAAAACAATATTTAATTTAATGTTTACCTCTAATACAATTAAATATATAAATACTAAAAATTATCACACTGCACTTTGATAAGGACACACACATTTTTTAGTGGAAATATATTTTTTGGCCAAGTTTTCCTAATTAATTTAAGCGCTTTTAATCCATAAACCGTTCTCAGCTTCTTCAACATTGAAAATGGTTTGAAAGCGGTATCACAAAGTAAACCAGCGTTGCGCTTCTATAAGCACAACGAAAAACCTATGTCACTGCCTTCTTTTTCAGTGAAAGTGAAGATTTCCATGACAGGCACTGCCGAAGAGAAGACAACCAAGCTGACATTTATAGCTACAAACCAGTAAGCCTATAAAAATGAAATAAAAGAAAAACCATTGTTTTAAGCTCAAAATAGTTCAAAACAAAACGCGTGTTAAGTCCCAGAGCATTTAATTTATATATGTATGTATATTTCAAAATCTATGTATAAATGTAATAAAAGTAACATATCAGTTCACACGCGTAGTTCGTGTGTACTCGCCTTGAGTTTTATAATATAATTTACTCTTCTGTTTGTACCCTAACCAATAACTTGACCTCTTCTTATTAGGGTTTCGCAGTTTATTTATATATATATTTCTATACAGGGTTACAAAAATTGTAATAATAAATATAATAAAAACAAAATTTAATAAATTCTATTTCATAAATTTTGTTTATAATTTTATTAAATTTATTAATATTATTTGTTCACGTGTTAGAATCAATTTACTGAGAATAAAAATTAGTAACGATTTACTGTGATGGTTTTTCTCAAGCTTTACTAACTGATTTTTGTTACGAATTCATCTGAAGTCTCTTATTAGTTTAAATATTCATTTAATTCTATTCCTCTATTTCTAACAGTAAGAATAATATATATTTAATAATCCAGATCTAGCAAGGTGAAGGGGAAAATTGGAAGAAGTTATGTTGGAGACTATTATGTGGATGTGGTATCTCCCCGAAAGAATTAAAAAGTACTGAACAGTGTTTAGTTATTACTGTTGAGATGATATTTATATTAGTATACTTTCGAGTAACTTTGAAGTATTCTGAAATTGCGATTATTCCATTCAAAGTTCTGAAGTTGATACATATGAGTACTGATTTTATTTGGTTAATTTAAAAACATACTTACACATTGATAGTGACAATTCCTGTATTATTATTGGTATTTAATGTTTATTATTATAGACTCTAAGCTGCGACATATATGATTGAAAGGGGGATTTATTTTTCTATCATGGTTTCCTACTTTGCAGTGGCCTGTAAGTAAACCTACCAAAAAACTGATATCTCTACGGGGCATCTCAATGTGAATTTTGCAATTGCCAAAAATATATTTCGTTTAGAGATGTGTTGCAATCAAAAACCGGTTTAGATTAAAATTGGACTGAACTCAAGGACTTTAGGGCAGCTTGACTGTCTGATATTATGTATATATTCCTGCCAAATATATCACCTACATTCAAACAAACTATAGCTTCCCTAATGGTGATCATTTCCACCTGAAAGACACTACAATGATCCAGAAACCTAAAGTAGGAATATTTATTCAGTTCTTCTGACAACAGTTCTTCTTTGACTCTAAAGCAGATGAAGCTGCCATTTGTTTACTAATGATTTCCAGTGGTGGTACAATGGATGGTGTGGTTCATAATGTCTCGCTAATACAAACTTCAGCTCCTCGCTGAACCCTGTTAAATACTATTTTAAATTTTACTATGAAACAAAGGAGAAGATTTAGTACGATAGAGATAAGAAAATCTAATCACATCTGCAATATCAGTACCTAACATAACATAACTCTAAATTATTTATTGCAGATTTTTAAATTTGCTAGGAGCTGAAGCTCGAAATGGTGTTCCAATCCCTGCTGAAAACAAAAATATCGCAGTAGTCCTGCACTGCTTTGAACAGTTCATACTTTCAAAGTTATTTTTAGTAAAAGATATACGGGATTTATGGGATAAACGAGATGATCACTTTCTGTAATAGTATTGTGTATTTTCCGCTAAATACAAGTACAAACCTATTACATATTTTTAAGTATTACACAATTATTAGTTAAAACTAAACTAATTATTCCTATACTTGTGTTTATCTAAATTTTTATACATTCTAGCCCTCATATTTATCAATATTAAAATGTTAAGTTTATGAAACTTGAAATTACTTATCTTTTGTTTAGCTTTCTTTGAATCTACATACTTTTACGGATACATGCGTATCTACATAATATGTACAATATGTTATATATGTAAGTGACTGCTAAAACAGAAACATAAACGTTGGTGTTATACGATACCAAAATATGTAGGTGTATCCCGTATCTTCCAAGTATTGTGAAAGCTAAATATGTCTTCAAATATGTACATCATAATTAGTGCAATTTTATTTGTTATTATGCAGATAAACATTGTTTCGTACCTAATTACATGTTGTTAAAAATTTGTAATATTCATACACCATATATCATACATTTTCGAAATAATTTATACTGAAGTGTGAATTTTTTGAAGTTATAGCCACATCTTCACTCCTAAAGTCATGTAGTTAATGTTAATAAAAATTAAAAATAAAGTGAATTTATTTAAATATTCTTATATGAGTACTATGAACTCTTTTATAAAATCTCTTTTAACAATAAATACAATAATTTAATAATTTAATAACGTCAAGTGAATCACTTGAAAGAGATTTAAGGCAACAATTGAGATTAAAAATTGTTGCAGATATTGTTCACAGTTTTCAATTAAACCTTACTTGTCATTTTTATATTCATATATATATATTATATATATAAAGCTGACAGCTATGTCTGACAGCTATAACAGCTATGGCCGTCTACCAGATATATATTCATATATTTTGCAATTATTTGTCATTTTTGCAATATTTTACAATATTTATAATTGTTATGAATATTTTGACAAACTTCACAAAAACCATTGAATTTAAATGCAGCACGCGCCATCTAGTTCCACTTGGATTAGCTAAATAATCGAATGCTTTGAAACGTGAAGCTTAAACAATTTTTAAGACAATGCAATTTAAAAAATTTTCATTAAACAATTTTTAAATTATATCATCCTAAATTTTTCTTTTTATAAAAAAAATTATATTTTAAGGGCTTCATATGCATAATTTTAGATTACGGATATAATTTTGTAATAAATTACACAATTTTCAGAGAATGCATTTTTGTTTTTATAAGCATTTTATTACACCTGATGTATATATATTTGACATTTTAATGCTTATTAGTATTATTAAGAGATATTCTTAAACATTAAGTACCCATACATTTAATGTACTTTTTATAAAATTAG